AGCGCTCAGCTTGCAATGCAAACAGTAACAATACTTACAGAGGAAATTAAGAAGCTACGTAAAGAAAACCAGCGCCAACGACAAAAGCAGGAGCGGCAGCGTCAATATATCGCTTCTGGTGGGGTGCTCCGGGTCCAACAGGCTCAGCAGATCATTGCAGAGGCAGAAAGGGTGGTGATGGGGGGTGACCAGAACCAGACTGGCGAGCGACGTCAGCGCGCGCCGCCAACGTGCACGAAGTGCCACGTTCAAGGACATACTCGGACTTCATGTAAAGCTAGATAAAGAATAATATCTTTTAATTTAATTTAATTTTATTAAGTTGCTGTAGAGCAATTGAGTAGAGCGTCGCGTCAGGTTTGGTGGGGTGGGCCACTTACTGATGTGGGCCGCTTACTGATAAAACACGTTATTGCAGGATTTGCGCTGAGTCATCATGACCCACACCAATTAAGGAAATCGCAGCCATCTGCCCTCGTCAATCCGACGCCCTTGCGACGTCGAATTTGAACTTTTTCCCGAAAAATGACACAAGGTACACCGGCCGAGCCCGAGGTACCAGTCCCCGACAAGGGACTGAGAGATTTAGCGAAGAATGTAGCCAAGGTCTTGCCTAATTTCGAAGAGGAAGAACCCGCTATTGGAGTGAAGTAAGCATGCAAAGTCCGTGTGCTTTGCTTTATTACTATGTAAAATGGCTGATACCATGCTAGAAAGCTTCACGACGCTTTGTCCCCGGTCTTGGAAACAGCAGATCTACCAGATTTGGAGAACAGTCATCGTGCCGCCGCTTCCAATGCTCTATGTGCGATCATTGAGCATTGCGCGGCTTCCAAGAGCCAGTATGTGAGGGAAGAGATCTTGAATGATTCCATTTGGATGAGAGGATTCAATGTCTATCTCCAGAGGTCCGGTGATGCAAAGGGCAAGTCAATGAGGCAGATGCTTTTGGTCCTTACGAGTGCCATTACCAGAGATCTGACCCCGCGCGCTATCGAGCTTCGCCAGCAGGCTACTGCCCAGTTCCTGGATATCATCTGCGAGCGCGAGGATCGCATCAAAGTCAAGCCGGCTTTACAAGGCCTTGCGCACTTTTTGCTCAAGGACGTGGTCTCGATTCCAGAACTAGTAAACCTGTTCAACAAACAGTTGAAGCATTCATCAGGTTCAGCCAAAAACACCGTGAACTCTCAAACGGTTTTCACTTCCTTTCTTGCCTGGGTTGTCCATCATGACACTTCCCTCTCTGCAGGTCATTTAATCAAGAACTTCTTGACACAGGCCCGTCGTCTTCCAGACTACTGGACACAGGGAGCAAGTGATCAAAATACACCATTATGGATCGAGCCAGTGGTGCAGACTTTACAAGACTGGCCGGATCGGATACAGGAATTCAGGACCCACGTTTTTCCTCACTGCTTCATGCCCAATATCTCCGAGTACACACGATTTCTAGCATACGTACGTTTCGAGGTGTACGTGCCGCACGAAGGTACATTGCTAGATGAGCTAGTACAACCTAGCAAGCACACACCTACAATCGATGGAGACATGGAGTTCAGGATCTTGCTAGCAGCAATTGCGACTGGAAAAGAGCTTACGATAGTCAAAGACAGTGGTAAGCACATCTCAATACAATCTCCAAACCCTGGTGGATCTGTACTTACTTGTCACTCAGACCATACAACACAGAGTAGTATAGGGATTCACGATGGCGCTGTCTATCTGCCCGACAACATTGCAGGTAAATGGATGTCTGATTCAGAGCCCGAGGTCAGGCTTGCAGGAATGTTTCTTTCCGTATACTCAACTTCCATCACAAGAGCATTCAGCGGCAGTGTCCTCCAAGCATTGAAGCGTAACCTTGTCCATCTACACACCGACACGGATGCCAACTTCCGCCGGGAGGTACACGGATACACACAGAAGCTCTTTGATCGATTGAGAGCAAGTACGGCTACGTTATCAAAGGGCATATTAAAAAGCGGTGGTACAGGTCAAACACGACTTCCTTTCCCAAAAGCGACTTTCGACTTTGGCCTATCACTTTCCAGGCCCAGGCAACGAGACCCGCTTCTAGAATCTCTTTCATTCGTGGTCTGGTACATTCGGTTTCTCGAGTGGGAACTTCGCCCGACTGCGTCCTATCAGAGCCGCATCACAGCGCTACGATCTCTGACCATTGTACTACGTTCTGGGGTGGACCCAGGAGTTCCATATGCCAGCCTTTCCAAATCCGCACAAGGACAGCTGAACTGGGCATATGGCATTCAAATTGGGAGCATGAAATTAGCGCGAACACTACTGGATCTGATACTCGATCCCTTCGACGACGTTCGAGATGCAGCCGTGTCAGTCCTACAATTATGCTTAGTAGCGCTACCAGAAGACGAGAAAATGCGCATAATGTCGGCCATTCCTCCATTCATTGCGCGAGCGGAAGCCGTCATGCTTCGTACCGGACGAGCTGATCAAGCAGACGGTGTTGCTCGAGCCTACGGAATGGTCTTCTCCTCTGCAGGCGATGCAGCAGTGACGCCAGGGAGCGCTTTCTTTTCCACAAAGTTGCAAATTTTCGAACACCTCCAAAGCCAGCTTAAGAATACGTTGGCAGTTGCACATGCGGATCTCTCACAAGCTGTTGATGGCCGGCCGGTACATGGTATCTTTGCTGCATTGCGATACGTTGTCGATCAGCCTGATTTCTACACCCTCGTGGCAAAAACGCCACAAGACGCATTTACTCAATGGAAAAGCCTTCACAGTGAAATTGTGGAAAGTATTGAGAGCCTGTGGAATTGCGTCTACCATGTTCTATGCGCAGATGCACCAGAAGGCCATGTTCCTGACGAATTGGAAGACGACGCGAGCTTGGACACCAAGGAAATTCTAAGCTACTCATGGAGAGGTCTCAAAGAAGCAAGGTAAGCAGATTTATGTGCACAGCGTACAATTCTAAAGTTTGTCAGTGTACTACTTAGGACGATCATTTCAAAAGCCCCCGTGGGCAATGGAGATGCAGATCTCATGACAGCACATCTCTTTGAAAAACTGGGTAGACTGTGCTTTACTCAGCTTCTAGAACTACGACACCGCGGTGCCTTTTCAACTGTTTCTCAAACATTTGCTATCTTCTGTCGTCGCTGCGTAACCTCAAGCATCCCTTCTCTGCGCGCATTACCCGAGGCATGGTACCAGGTATGCAAAGGACTCTGCTGAACATGGATTTTGAGCTCATGTTTGCCAGGAAACTCTACGCTCCATTCAAGCCAAGTCTGATGCCATTACTCGAAGATCTGCGGGTATACCTGCAGCCATGTCGGCCTTGTTAGCAGCTGAGCCACAGACCAACGGCAAGCTATTCCCTCGAGCGATGAAAGATCTCACTGCAGAGACTCTTGTCGAAGCCCAAAGCGCAAACATTGAAGAAAGTCGCCTCCCGCAGGTCCATGCACTCAATTGTATCAAGGAGATCTTCACCACCTCCAAGCTCAGTGTTGCGTCCGAAGCATACATTGGCCAGGGTCTCGAGCTAGCTGCGAAGACCTTGAATTCGCCCATGTAAGTCCTAATCGCTATTTTCCAATTCTGGCCGATACTAACTTTCATCCTAGCTGGCCTCTCCGCAATTGCAGCCTCATGCTCTTCAAAGCCCTCATCGAGCGACTCCTCGGCAGCGACGAAGCTCAAGACTGGAAAGAACACGATCGTGCAAAAACCTCACGCTTCTCCTACGACAACTACCCCAGCCTCGTCACCATATTGCTCGACCTGCTCGAACCGAGTGGTAACCAAGGTATCATGGATACCCCCGAGAGCGGCAGCTCACCTCTTGATCTACACGGCGCCGAAGGCGTGTTTCCCGCGCTCCAGATTCTGCGGCAAGCAAGGCCACCAGGCGACATTTCCAAAATGCAGGAGCTGGTAAAGAGGCTGATTCCAAGTCCGCACTGGCACATGAGAGATATGGCAGCGAGGACCTATGTGTCGTTGTGCTCGCCAAACGAGGGCTTCGGTGCACTGAATGCAATCTTGGACAATGTGCCTGCAAGTAGTAATGGACGGCATGGAATGCTGTTGGTGATGAAGTACCTGTTGAAGAAGATTCTGCGTAACTCAAGTCAATTCAGTAAGTCCATCTCCTCAGCTACGCAATGTGTAGTAAGAAGACTGACGGACCACAGCACTGGCTGGCTTCGCAGCTATGATGCAACAGCTTTGCAGACAAGCATCTATATGGTACACATCTAGCAACTGCTTCTTCGTGCGAGCCGCATTTCTCGACATCATCAGCCTCTGCGGAATGACGCTTCTCCGCCAGCCCAACGCCCTGTCAGTCCTACAAGCCTGGACTGACCTCGCAGATTGCGTGTCCATCAGCCCCGAGTACTCGATTGGCCCCAGTACCCACCACGGCGACGATTTATACCGCAGCTCGCTCGTACAAGTCTTCATCCTCGACCGCGTAATCCTGCGCGAAACCTCTCTCAGCGTCATGGTCTCGGAGAGCTACCAAACCATTGGTGACGCCCTCCTTCTCCTCGCTACCCAAGACCCAGATACGTGCCTTACTGCACTGGAAACTCTAAACACCATTCTCCAGTGCACTCACCCCAGCGATCTAACCATCCCGCTCTCGCTGGTGCTATCCCACATCCACACCATGGTGCTCGCATCCACAAACCCAGAAGTCTCATCGGCCGCTGAATCCGTCCTTGCCCACGCTCTCACCTCACCCCCTCTCCGCAGCGACTTCTTCTCCTTGCTGAAAGAAGCCGACGTCGTGCTGACCCTTTCCAAACTTGAAGCAACATGTCTCGCCGCGCCCCCGTCGAATATGCAAAGTAGTCTGCACCTGCTATCTTTCTTCCTCAACCACGGCTATCACAGTCTGGCCCCTGTGGAAACAAGAAATGTCGTCCTCCCAGCGATCGCGCGATACATCCGGCTCGTGCGGACGACAATCGTCGACACGAATCCCTTCGACACACGCATATCAGCCATCCAGTCGCTGTCAGGCCTCACGCACATTTTCACCGCGAGCCCCACGTCCCGAGCAACAGGCCCGATAATTCTTGCTGTCGCACTGCTTCTGCACGACCTCCTACATGACGACGACGACGAGATACGTGATCTGGCTGCGCGAACAACAGGCGCCTTTTTGCGCGCCCAGGGCGACGTCAAAGCTAACGATACCGTCCCGGTACTAACGAGCTACCGTCTCGCGCTCTTCCTGTGCACAGCGGAGTTCTACGCTGAACAAGACGTAGCGCGTCAGGCGCTACGCAGACTGACTGATACCACGCCGGGACATGCACTCTTCGACACGTCTTTCGAGCAGGAGTTTGCGGAAGCGAGAAAAGAAGATACGGCCTTGTTTGCGCGTGAAAAACAGAATTTGTATAAGGATGATGTGCTGGATGCTGTGCTCTGGTCGCGAGTACTGCTTCAAGTACGTCCGTCGTCTGTGTCGCTGGATCTGCGCAAAGAGGTGGTCAAGTGGGTGGGAGACGCTCTTGCGGTACTAACTGAGACGGCGAAAAAGGAGGATGATGGCGCGTTGGGATGGAGCTCGAAGGATGAGGTGTTTACGCTTGGGATGCGGGTGTTTTGTGCGGCGGAACAGGTGTTGCGGTGGGGTGACGCGAAGGAGAGAGCTGGCGTGATGGTTGCGCTGAGGAAGTTCGTGGAGGTTGGCAGTGAGAAGGGTGTTCATGGGCTATGGATTGAGAGGATTGAGAAGGTGTTGGAGAGGGAGGTCATGGGAATCTTGGCAAGAGTCAAGGAAAGCTTTGAGGGGGTACGAGGTTAGTGCATGGTAGAATAGAGATCAGTTTTGGAAAGTAAAGTTTCATTGTAGCAACACTATTGGATGTGTGAACAACTAGAGAAAAGAAGTGTTAAACGAAAGGCTCTATAAAATCTTCCCGAAAGTTCAGGGTCGACGACAACCATGCCTACCGCCGATAAAACATGTTGATCGGACTATCGCTGACCTTCCGACTGACACTGCCATACTTGGCCTGCCATGCAAAGAAATACAGCAAGGCAGCAAGAGGCTGTCCCACCAGACAAAAGCTTATCCAGAAGATCATGTTGCCAGCGACCTTGCCCTGAATCCACCTGATCTTCTGAATCACATCCGTGAGCACAATGAGCGGGATCTGAAACATCATGCCTGCAAACGCCACACCAATGATGTTGTGCGTGGGTACTCCGACAAGAAGTTCGTGTAGGACGCCTGAGAAGAAAAAGACCAAAATTTGCGCTGCCACAGGAGGCACGCCTCGACCAACCAAAGGAGAGTAAATGTGGCGACGCATGAAATTAGTCACAGGTTTGTTCCAGGTGGTCCAGTATGTGCGGATGGACGACACGTTCCACCAGTCGCCATAGAATTCTCGGTCACCAAAACGCATTACCTCGGCGAGGGCATTGAGTGCCGACTGGAAGAGCGCGAAGAAGCCGCAGAGCCAGCAGAAGACGGAAATGGTAGAGAGTTTCATGACACGCTCGACGATGGATGTGAGGTTCAGTGTGAGGACCTTGTCGAGCGAGTTCTGCAGTAGGGGTGCAGCGTACTGGGCCGAGGCAATCCAGATGACGATGCTAAGGCCAGCCAACTCGGCTAAACGCTTGAAGACAAAATCCCAACGGATCTTTTCTGTCCGCGGATAGATGGGCTGATAGACGAGGGTTGGTGCCCACCAGAAGTAGCAGAGATTCTTCATGTTGATATTTTGCGGGTACGGGCATGCGCTGTAGAGCTCAGGAAGAGGGTCGGCCTGCTTGGGATGGAGGTAGGCATGGCGCAGGTCACGGTTGGTGAATGCGTATGAAGCGCACTTGAGGAAGACAATGACGGCATGCAGTTCACATAGCGTACCGATGCCGGGGTGGTAGATGTCGTAGTAGACATACTTTGTGGCAATGTAGAGGTTCGCGACGGCGTTGATGCTGTGAAAGAAGGCGATCAAGTACCAGGTTAGGTTGAAGCTGCGCAGTGCCGCTGCGTACTTTGCAGGCGAATCGTCATCTTGGTCCTTGGAGATGCGGGAGTAGGCTCGGTCGGCTTGCCAGGCGGCGGCCAGCTCGATCAGGTAGGTGACGAAGAGGTGGGCAGGGACGAGGAGGTACAGGAGGAGGCCGGTGATGACGTCGGAGCGGCGATAGTCGTGGCAGGAGAGGCATATCAGGACGCCATACTGGTCGCGTTAGTATGGCAAGGGCGAAGGGGCATCGAGAGCGTACCTTTTGCAGGTTTACGATCATCAATCGCAGGTTGGACACGACTACTCCTGTTAGCCATATACGAGTACCATGGGTGGCAAGGGATGCGTACTCAGCACCAGAATCATGAGGTTCCTGAAGCCCACGAAGCTGGGGCTCTTGTCTGTATCGTGGCTCAGGCATGACGTGCGCGTCAATGAGTGGGTAGCAAAGACATGGCGATATTTTGTGTCGCGGGCGAGTTTGGTGGTGGTGGTGGTGGTGGCGGTGCCGTTGGCCTTGTCGTCGGCAACTCCCTTTCCGCGGAAGACGGAGGTGCCGTTGGCCTTAGGGCTGAGGGCTGAAGAGGTGGCCATTTGGGTAATTGTCGCCATGGTGGGAGAGAGTGCAGAGGCGACTCGAGCACGAGGAGGGACGAGACAATTGCCCAGAGCGCAATGGCTCATGCGGCGGTAATTAGAAACTCAGGGTGGCAGCTGGAACGCGGCAATGGAAAGGACGGAACGGGGCAGCTTGGCCACGGAGGCGGGCGGCGGCGGCGAGGGTGAATTTGTATCTGGGCTGGGGGGGGCCATGGGGGCCATGGCCGAGGTGCTTGCAGCAGTTATCGACGGGAAGAAGTGAAGGCCCGTCTGGATTTCTGTTGGGAAGACGAGAGAGCGGGGATCTGCACGGTGATGCCGCTCGACCACAGGCGTTGCCTTGCACCGTTTGGCTCGCACGCAATGGCTTATCAGGGGTGGCTTGCGTGTGGGTGGGTGGCTGTGGCTGTGGCGCACCGGGGGCTTGGCGCCGGCCCTGCGGTGGCGCGGGCCCGAGGGCGCGCTAGGCCCAGTGCGGCGGCAACGCGACAGAGCACGCGCTTTCACCCGACGACGCTGCTTGCGCCTTGACATCATCTCCCATGCCCTCGACCTAGCCACGGCCTTTGGCACCACCAGCCCCCATGGAGCGCGAGTACCATCGCCCGGAGTTTGAGGGAGCGCTGCGCCCGCGCCCGAAACGTGAGTAGATGCGTCCATGGCGCACTGGGCGTGGTTGCTGTCGAGGCCATGCATGCTCCTGCTATGCAGTCCCCAGCCGGTGCCGCCATGCCACAGCAACCGCTGCCTCACAGTCCCGCTGGTTGACACTCCTGCTGACCCATCCCCCAGGCGCCGTCACCGACTATGGCTCCACCACGGTGCAATGGATGCGCTCCCGCCGTCCGCGCTACAAAAACATCCCCCGGCCAGAGGTAGAGCGGCCCAGCGCCAGCTACATCGTCGACTTGCAGCCCCCCGCAGCGCGAATCCCCAGCGCCGCCGAGTCCATCCCTGCAAAGGCCGTCCACTCGTCCCTCAACAAGGTCAAGCATCCCATCAACGTGGTCAAATGGACGCCAGAAGGCCGCCGCCTGCTCACTGGCTCCACGAGCGGTGAGTTCACGCTGTGGAACGGCATGGGCTTCAACTTTGAAACCATCATGCAGGCCCATGAAGCCGCCATTCGCGCCGTCGAGTACACGTCTACCGACGACTGGCTGCTGTCCGCCGACCAGACGGGAGTGGTCAAGTACTGGCAGACCAACTTCAACAACGTCAAGGAGATACAGGCACACACCGAGGCTGTGCGCGGGCTCGCAATCGCCCCCACAGACTCCAAGTTTGTCACGTGCGCCGACGACACCACACTGAAGATCTGGGACTTTGCGTCTAGCACAGAAGAGTCGACGCTGACAGGACATGGATGGGAAGTCAAGTCGGTCGACTGGCATCCGCACAAGGGGCTGCTGGTGTCGGGGTCAAAGGACCACCAGGTCAAGTTCTGGGATCCGCGGACAGGGCGCTGTCTGACGTCGCTTCATGGACATAAAAACCCAATATCAAAAACCATGTTCGAGCCCGTCTCGGGAAACATGCTAGCAACCTGCGCCCGTGATCACACCGCCCGCATCTTTGATATCAGAATGATGCGCGATGTCCTGCTGCTCAAGGGCCATGAGAAGGACATCATCACCATGGCATGGCATCCCATGCACAAGAACCTGCTGTCTACGGGTGGTGTGGATGGCAGCATACACCACTACCTCCTCGACGAGCAGAATCCGCCGCCAGGCGTTGCGCCTTCGATATCGCCATACGACGCTGCGGACTCTCAAAACGCCCCTTCGCAAACCATATACCCTGCACACAGCCTCCAATACGCACACGACTTTACTGTCTGGACCATGGACTGGCACCCGCTCGGCCATATCCTCGCGTCCGGCTCCAACGATCGCGTCACACGCTTTTGGACACGCCCGCGACCAGGCGATACAAACTACATCAATGACCGGTATCACATTGGCCAAGCCGCCGCCGAAGCCCAAGGCACGTTTGACCGCGGCCAGGGGCGGCGACAAAAGATGGAGGAAGAAGAGCAAGAGGCCGAAGACGAAGCCGAAGGTCTCATCGACCAAAAACTGCCTTCCAAGAACGCTGGTGCTCCCTTCCTTCCACCCGGCCTCTCGCTTCCAGGCCTCAGCGCACCTCCAGACGGCACTTCAAGCGCTCTCCCAGGCATCGGGGGCACAAACCAACCTCCCATCCCCCCACCACCCCCACCAGCAGGCCTGCCCTTTCTGCCTCAACCAAACGCTCCTGGTGCACCCCTGCCCCCCTTCTCTGGCATGGACCCGTCGCGCATCGCACAACTCATCGCCTCGGGCACCTTACCGCCGCCGCCTCTTCCCCACGGCCATGGTCCTCCCCCTCCAAACGGAAACGGTGCTCCTCCGCCTCCTTTCCCACCCCCGCCAAACTTTCCTGGTTTCCCTCAGGGAATGCCCCCCGGTATGCCTCCCCTGCCGCCTGGAATGCCTCCACCGGGGTTTCCGGGCTTCCCTCCGCCTCCCGCCGGATTGGGTGCTGCGCCGCCCCCGGGATGGCCGGGTGCTCTGCCTACCCAGCAGCAGCAGCCGCCGCCACAGCAACCGTCACAGCAGCAGCAAGGGTTCAATGGTGGACAGGCAGGAATAGACGCGGCGGTGCGGAAGCGCGCACCATTACCCGATCAGCAGGATGCGCTCAAGGCGGAGATGAGCCAGGGTCGATATAGGAAGGCGAGGTAGTAGTTCTTGCGGGTTTCCAAATGGTTTTTCTTTCTCATTCCTTCCTTTTTTTCGGGCTTTCATGGTCAAAAGGGCTGCTGGAAATATATACATGTAGCTGTTTTTGATATTGAGTGAGTTGTATGAAATGAAGATTATGCAATGCAATCATGCTACATATGTATGCAATGGTGGGGGGGGGGGGTATTTGACAGGAGAGAAAGTGATCTGGGTCGGTGTGTTGCCTTCTCTCATTTTGAGAAAACAGAAAAGAGTGGAGCGCGTTGGTGCAGATGAAGTAATCGACTACTTTAATCAATTTTTTTCTCTCCAGTTTATACTAAGATGGACGTGGATGCAAATGTGTAAATGACATTTCACGCCTACTTCCCCCTTCTTAACCTTGTTGTTTCATCATGCTTCCACTCTCCCATCTCACTTCTATCAGAAAGCCTTCAACAGTCGCGCATCTGGCACGTCCTTTAGACACTCGATTTTCGCCCACTCGTCGAGTTTTACCTTGCCACTTCCAATTCCCTCGGCTACATTCCACAGCTCGTCGAGGAAGGCCGGGACAAACGTGCCTGCACCACGGACATCATCCCGGGCTGCAGCCACCTGAGCCGCGATTTCATAGTGTAGGAGACCAGCAACAGCGGCGAGCAATTTATCGCCTGGAATCGCAGCCAAGTACGCTGAGAGGGTGGTGCCTAGCGTGCATCCGCTGCCTGTGATACGGCCTAGGTACTCGTGTCCGTTAGAGATGGCGTATGTGCGAATGCCGTCAGAGACGATATCCGTGGCGCCCGTCATGAGCACAATGTTGCGTTCGCGCGCTGCGAGGTGCGAAACGAGATAGGCTTTTTGCTCTAGCGTGAAGAGCGAGGCGCCGCTGTCTACGCCGCGCTGCTGCGTAGTGGCTGCAATGGTGTAACCTGATGCGCGTGCTACAGCCAGAATCTCCTTTTCGTTGCCCTTGATGAGGTCAAAATAGCCGGTGCCCATGAGTGTGGATACCGCATCTCGTCGGATCGACGTGGCACCTGCGCCGACAGGGTCGAGAATGATGGGGTTGCCGGCGGCGTTGTAGGCAACTATGGCTTTTTGGTAGTTGATCAGACCATCAGGGGTTACGGTACCCATGTTTACGACGAGGGCGCCCCCAAGCTGCGAGAGGTCGTGGGCTTCTTCGCCGTAGTTTGCCATGATGGGCGAGGCGCCAATGGACAGGGCCACATTGGCGGCGAAGTTTTGGACGACGAGGTTGGTCATGTTGTGTGATAGGGGGCCTATTTCTTTGACCTGTTGGGTACATTTTGCTGCTTGGGCCAGGACCGATCTGATCTCGTCGTCGTTCTTCTCGTGCCAGAAGTGTGGTTCCGTCGACTTGAGCTTGAATGGTGGTGGAGACTTGAGGAGCTTCAGTAGGTTTTGCGAGGCAGCCTTGGGATCAGCAGCTCCAACTATAGCTGATACGACTGCGACACCGTCAATTGTCTTGGACTTGAAATCGGTAGGTGTTGGGGTGAGAAGTTGGTGTGTTACGCGCTGCACGTTTGAGGCATTGACGCCGCCGATGCATACGCTCTTGACATTTTTCTCTGCCTCGCTGCCTTGATCAAGATATGCAAGAATCTTTCGAATTCCAGCAATGCCAATGATTTCTTTGGTATTCTTCTTCGTGTTGGTGGCGTAGAGGGTACCGATGCCCAGATAGTCTGCCCCTCGCTCAACCGCAATGCGGGCTTCCTCGATGGAGCAGACGGTTGCACCAATGATTTTTTCTTTGCCCAAGATGCGGCGGGCTTCGGCAACATTCATGTCATCCTGGCCCAAGTGTACGCCCTCACATCCAACCGCCAATGCGACATCGACACGGTCATTGATCAGAAGGGGGATGCCATGTGTTTTGCATTTTTGATGTAGTGCTTTTGCCGTTAAGATGAGGACGCCAGTGTCAGAGGTCTTGTCTCTGTATTGGACGATGGTGACACCTGCAAAGGGTTAGTTTGTTTCTTTGCGACGCCAAACACATCGGTAGTCAAAGAAGTGCTTCTAAAATGGGACATGTCATTCAACAAAGAGCTACCAACCTCCCGTTACAGCCTGCTCGACCACGTCGGCCAGGTTCCGCGAGCCGAGAATAGCATCTGTGGAGTCGGTCACCAGATACAGCGAGTAGTCTACGTTTTCGCCGCCCATCTTTTCCGTGTGCGGGTTTGGACTGGGGAAAAAAAAAGTCGACGCCCAGCTCCCAATTCAGAACCAGGCGTTGCAGTGCGCTATCCAGGATGACGCAATCAAGACACAAGCGGCCCAGTGCGTGGATTGGCTAGGCGAGCAGAAGAAGAAAATGTCTTCACAGCAAGCCGGCGAAATGCTTGCACGTGCATAGGCGTGCAGTCAATGGAGATTGCTGGGCGGGGCCAAACCATGGCGCTGCCCCTCGTTGCGCGGACATGTTCACTGATTGGTGGCGGCCGACGGAAAACTGTGGTGATGGTTTGCGCAGTGCTGAATTTTGTTTGGCAGCCGTCGAGAGCGGGGAACGCTATTCGAGGTCACACAGCGCGAAAATGCGTACACCTGCTGCCTTGGACATGAAGCTATCCACAGTGTGTAGGGGTCGCTTTCGGTCACGCCGGCCGTGGTGGCAGTCGTTGTCGTCGTCGGCCACAGAAACACAGCGTGTTAGATCGGCAGGCTAGGCCCGTTTACCGCTGTTGGCCGGCTTTATGCAGCGGCTCACTGAAACGAGAGCAATGGCATGATGCAGCGGACAGGCCGCCCTGCAATTGTTTGGTGGTTCAAGCGGCTCTTTGTCAGTCGCCTGGCTGCCTGGCACATGGCAATCCACGCCGACTGGCCGCTCGTCGATGCCGCAGTGGCGCCCGCAAGCCGCGCGAGGGCAGACACAAGCAGGCGAGGGAGCGTTGGGAGCGTTGGGAGGGGCGTTGTGGTGTTGGCAGGCGAGGGGCGGGGCGGCAGGTGTGTATGGGTGCAATGTATGGGTGTATGGGCGTGGGCGTGGGTGTGGATGTGGATGTGGGTGGGTGGGCGGTTTGGGTGCGGGAGAGAGTGTGTTGGTGCTAGTGCGGCTCGGCAAAGTCGAAAAACTCAACTCCGTCCCCATATAACTGCCAGGCCTTCCCTTTGACCACGCCCGACCCGCCCACACACACGCACACCCGCACATCCGCACCCACACTCACCCTCTGCACCGCGCAAAAATCCATCAACCTCCCCCCCTCCAACGCCAGTGACTGCGACTGGCACCAAGAGAATCCTCTCGTCCGCCTTCCCGCCCTCCCGCCTGCGTGTCGCCCGCCCGCGACGTGCCCAAACCGCCACCTCCCGCCTACCGGCCTCACGCACAAACCGCACCTTGCAGTTGCCCGCGACAACAGGAGTATATGTATTCGCGCCAACGCTACGCCTTCCGAGTCGAACCTCCCCCCAAACTGCAAAAATTTCGCTGTATGCGGATACCAAGCAGTTCGATACACCAGACCAACGGCTAATCCACTGCCCCTCGTGACGCCGAGCCGCTCCCACACACGACGACGACGACCATCCCCATTGTCCTAGAGCCTGCAGTTGCGCATGTCTCTTTCGGCCCTCGTCAACAGACCCGACCCGACCTCGTCCGTCCGCACGCCGCACCACCACTAAGAAGCTCCTCCACCTGTCCCCCGCACCACCGTCACCATGGCCACCGTCAACATTCGCCGCGATGTCACCGACCCCTTCTACCGCTACAAGATGGAGCGTATCCAGTCCAAGATTGAGGGCAAGGGCAATGGCATCAAGACCGTCATTGTCAACCTGACGAGCGTGGCGGGCTCCCTGGCCCGTCCGCCCGCTCACGTCATCAAGTACTTTGGCTTCGAGCTCGGAGCCCAGACCAACACCAGCCCCAACGACGACCGCTGGATCATCAACGGCGCCCACGATGCCAGCAAGCTGCAGGACTACCTCGACGGCTTCATTTCCAAGTTTGTCCTGTGCAAGAAATGCAAGAACCCCGAGACGGACGTCCACATCAAGGACGGCAACATTACGCTCGACTGCAAGGCATGCGGCAAGATCTCCGAAGTCGACCCTCGGCTCAAGCTCAGCTCCTTCATCCTCAAGAACGAGCCCAAGAAGGGCAAGAAGGACAAGTCGAACAAGAAGGCTGAGCGCCGTGCCCGCAAGGAGGCCGAGGCGCGTGGCGAGGCTACGTCGCCCGACAACGGCAGCCCCGGCGACAGCGCCGAGGAGAACGGTGACGATGGCGACCTGGCCCTCGAGGCTGGCAGTGACGATGAGCTCACGCGCCAGATCAACGAGGGGGCCAAGGAGATTGAGGACGAGGATGCCAAGGAGGTCGAGTGGTCGATTGACACGTCGGAGGCGGCCATCCGGGCCCGTGCGCAGGACCTGCCCGACGACCTCAAGCGTGCCCTTGTGATTGAGGAGGACGAGGAGGGTGGCTCCAGCTACGACACGTTTGGCAAGTGGATCATTGACACTGGCGCTGAGAAGGGCGGTGTTGAGAACCTTGACAATGTCGACATCTACATCAAGGCCAAGGAGCTTGGTATCGAGACCAAGCACCGCACGCTGACGGTCATTCCGCAGACGCTCTTCACGGAGAAGATTGTCAAGCAGGTGGACGCGCGCGCGCCCATGCTCAAGAAGATGATCACGTCGGACAAGCACGAGAAGGCTTTCCTGGGTGGCATCGAGCGCTTCGTCGGCAACGACAAGCCCGAGCTCATCCCGCAGGTGTCGGCCATCCTGCTCAAGGTGTACGAGAACGACCTTGTGTCGGAGGAGCAGCTCAAGACGTGGTGCTCCAAGGCCAGCAAGCGCTACGTCGACCTCAAGGTCAGCAAGACTGTGCGCAAGTCGGCCGAGCAGTTCAAGAACTGGCTTGAGCAGGAGGAGAGCGAGTCGGAGGAGTCTGACTAGGGCGTATACGCCGGCTAGCATGTCAGGGTGAAAGTGGGCGGATCGGCCAGCCGTTGGACAGTCCTTACCTCTATGTATTGCTTTTGTGCGTTGCCTTGTTCCTACTTTGCCTTTGCAGTCTTGTATTGCTCTTCTTCTTCTTCTTCTTCTTCTTCTTCTTCTTCTTCTTCTTCTTCTTCTTCTTCTTCTTCTCTCTCCACTCTTCACTTTCTAGTAGCCATCACTAGACGAGAATATAAAAAAACTTTGTTTTTGCACCACCCCGCTTCACGGCCGTGCATTGCCATAACTGTGCCTGTGCCTGTGCCTGCCCCACTACCGTTCGCCGTGTTTAGTGCTGGGTACCAAGTGCTCGGGCCCGTGTTTGCGCCCGCCGCTTACCGCGAAGTCTCTGCATCTAGTAGTCGTCAGTATGGATGTGGGTGTATGCGTCCGAATGCCACAAATGCAAGCCACACGGGCTGGACTCGGTGGAGGCGTGAAGAGACTCGGCACGTGCAGGCCACCACCAGTCTTGGCCTCCGCCCTGGCCGCGGCCCCTCCACTCGCCTTTGTCGAGTGTCATCCGCCTGGCCTTGCCACCAGCCCGGCGCACACGCACACGCACACGGGAAAAAGCAAATGTCGGCATTCGCCTAGAGCACGCGGTGCTTACACCTAGTCGACGAGGTATGCCCCACCCAGCCAAAGGATAAGCGGAGCTTCCATGCTCTGGATGCGCGGCCAAGGCAAGCCCTTTTCCACCATTGCGCCTGGTCGTGGGCAGTCGACGCGGGTTACTTATAATGTGGCGCGCCCCCGCCGCTGGCGCGACCGCTTCCCATACTTTTTTTTCCAACCCAGCCGTACTGATTGGTACACACCACCGTGGGCGACTTTGGAGTTTTGCGCTCACGTTCAACCCGAAAAGCTCCCGTACTACCGACATCCTTATCATAGCGCAGCGCCATGAACCAAGTTCAAGCACACCCCGCCGACGGCGTCGTAGTCCCCCATGCCCACCACCAAAACTACGACCCAGAACCAGTCGACAAGACGGGCAGCGGCTACTATGTGGCATCTGAAAATGAGTTGCACAACGCCACGCCTACCAACGAGGTCTTGGAGCGCGATGCGCAGACAAAGGGACGTTGGTTCCAGTACGTCAAGACGAAGCAGTTCTGGGTAACGCTATTGCTTGGGCAGGGTGTGTACACGCAAATCTATAGTCTGCCGTTACACAAGACTAACCAACCTTAGTCCTCGCTATTTGCATCACCTCTACAAACACATTCTCTACTCTGCTCTCGAACGAGGGCACCTCGATTCCCGCCTTCCAGTCCTTCTTTAACTATGTCCTGCTCAACATCATCTACACCTCGTACACCATCTACAAATACGGCTTCAAGAAATGGGGGCGTCTCCTTATCAAAGACGGCTGGCGCTTCTTCATCCTGGCTTTTATGGACGTTGAGGGAAACTATTTTGTTGTGCTGGCATATCGCTATGTACGTCTTGCTTGTCTTTGCAGTGTATTGAAATGCTAACAATCGTCTAGACCACCATCCTAAGCGCCCAGCTAATCAACTTTTGGGCCATCGCCGTCGTCGTAATCATCTCATTCATCTTCCTCAAGGTCCGCTACCACTACACGCAAATCTTCGGCATCTTGCTCTGCATCGGTGGTCTGGGCGTCATCTTTGGCTCTGACCACATCACCGGCGCCAATAACTTTGGCGCTTCCGACGCAGTCAAGGGCGATTTGTTTGCGCTTTTGGGCGCTACGTTCTACGGTCTCTCCAACGTCTTCGAAGAATGGCTCGTCTCGGAACGGCCCTTGTACGAAGTCGTTGGCCAACTGGCTTTCTGGGGCATGTTCATCAACGGCACACAAGCCGGCATTTTCGACCGTAACGCCTTCCGCACCGCACATTGGAACGCAAAAGTGGGCGGCTACCTCGCAGGCTACACGCTCATCCTGTCGCTCTTCTACTCCCTTGCACCTGTCCTATTCCGCCTGAGTTCAGCCGCCTTCTTCAACATCTCTCTCCTTACTGGAAGTTTCTGGGGTGTTGCCATTGGCGTCAAGGTATTTGGACTGCACATCCACTGGATGTATCCCATTGCCTTTGTTCTCATAATCTTGGGTCAGGTTATTTACTTCCTGAGACAGAGCTTGGTGGGTGAAGCCTTGAAGCCTTGGTTGGGCAAGAACCAAGAGAGGGGTCACGCTGGGCTGGGCACGGCGAAGAGGAGGGCAGAGAGACCAGAGGCTATTGTTTAAGATGAGCACTGAGATGGAGGAGCAGAAAGGTGAATACCCTGGTGTGGTTTGATGTGGCTAGAGGTTCACATATTATTACCCTATCACTAATGAACGACCCCTGATATTCCTTTGGTGAACATGTTGCCACTTTCATTATTTCAAGACTTGTGGTGACGTTCTCAGCAACACTGTCTGGGTGCTGACATTCTTGGGTCCTACTCGTTCATAGCAGAAACGACTAAAAACAGTCTAACCTCTAGCTCCAGAAAAGAGACCAGGATAACATACCTGTAAGGTCAAAACGTCATTTTTAGCTCATATTCAAGAAATTGCTTTCTTCTTTGCACATTTCCTTGTAAACGCCAGCACAGCCCCTCATTGGCCCCCGCTCGCCATGGCAGCGCCACCCGTCACCAGCCACGTTTTCGCGGCTCTCCACATGCACCACCAACCTACCTCTACCACACAACATCCTATTCTAACCTCATCCATCACATCCCTACCTCGAATTCGACCCTACCCCATCTCCACACTGATTCAAAATGTCATCTCGCGGCCTCCCAGAAGTGCTCATGCAAAAAGTCGACGAATACGTAGACTCGCTAGCGCCCCAGATCCAGCCCCGCATTGCGACTGAACTCGAAGACTTCCAGCAAAAAACAATTGATAGTCTCGAGACACAGGTCGTGGATGCGTTTCGCTCCCTCTTCAACGACAACAATGATCGTCCTTCGTCAAGAGAAGGAGGCGGCTCTTCCAGAAACCTAAGTGATTCAGCGCCTGATGCTTACGGCGGCCAATCTCTCCCGTTTGCAGATGAGATTGCAAAGTTGACCCGGGGCTTTGGCCAGATTAGCGATGAAGCCGGGGGTGATTTGCGTGAAATCTTTGCTTTGACGCAGAGTGGTGGCGGCGGTGGTGGCTCTGCGTCCCGAGGAGTAGGAGGAGGGCAAGAAGGGTTTGATTTCTCGTCTGGAGCCCGGGGCTTCTTATCATCTGCGCTCGACGCCGTGCAAGACAGTCTGGGCGACCAACGGGGTTCCAAGGGCGGACAGAGCTTTGAGATCGGCGGCTTGCTGGGTATGCTGTCTGGCACCATCAAGGAGGCATCGAGGAACCCTGAGGAAAAGGCTCGCATGATTAGTCCAGAGATTAAGCAGATGGTGGGAGAGAAGTTGCGTTCGCAACATGCGCCTATTGCGGAACAGTTTACGCGTATCGCACTCGAGCACATCAAGCGCTGGTTGCGTGGAAATACCAGTTCACGCGATCTGGGCGAGGGGGCAAAAGCCGAGATTGCAGAGCAGGTCGGTGATCTCGTCAAGGGACTTGGAAGTCTATTCGGCAACAAGAAGGGCAATCATGAAAGCTCGGCTCGAGGCTTCGACGAAGGCGGTAGTCGGGATGGCGAAGGTGGTGGAGGTGGCTTCTCCCGCGTCATCAGCGACAAACTAAGTACCGGACTCGCCAAAGTCCACCGCGAAGTCCGCATCGAATTCCGCAAGATACTCGGGCAAATCGAGAAGCAGCTGTTCGAGCTGCTGCCAGACCAGTTCCAGCGGCCGCTTGAGAAAATCCTAGGCGGAAACCCCTTTGACGAGCAGCTTGACCGCGACGCCTCTGCCAATGCGGACCGCGGCTTCGGCGACGACATCAAGGCGAAGCTGCTCGGCAAGATTCGCGACCTCGTCCGCAAAGTGCAGGAGACGCTGCGCCAGAGCATCCTCGGCGTGGTGAACGGTGGACACCGCCGGTTTGAGCGCCAAAGCTGGGTCTTTGTGCAGTCCATGGTGGAGCAAAAGGTGCAGAGGTACCTGCCCGATGTCAAAATCAATGTGCCAGATGACATTGGAAACGAGAATGTCAGTGTAGGCAGTCCAGTGCAGCAGTTGGGCGGAGGAAATGCAGGTCAACAGTATCAACCTCCGCCTCCCCAACACCACCAGCAACAACAGCAGAGTTACGATGGTCCCCCACCAACATACAACAACAATAACAACAGCAACGAACCCCCATCTCAGCAGCACCAGTACCACAACGAACAGCAGTACCAGGGTCCCCCGCACAACCAGCAGTATCCTCCTCCTCCCTCTCAAGACTACAGGCCAGACAACAACCAATCGTATTCTCAGTATCCACCGCCGCAACACTCGAGTTATCCGCCACCTCCACCTCAGCAGCAGCAACAACAACAACAACAACAAGGATATCACCAGCAAGGGTACCAGCAGCAAGGATATCACCAGCAGCAACAGGGTTACCCCCCGCGTGACTACCGTGACAACAACGATGAGGGGTACCAAAGGCATGGGTATTGACATCTCATGTAGTCTAGTCTAGTCTAGTCGAGGTATCTTCTTTTTTTCCTAGTTTTCCATCCAATTCAATTCGATTCGATTCGATTCGATCCGATTCATTGTGAGACGTAGATAGGTAGGTAGGTAGGTAGGTAGGAGGAAGCGGGAACGGTAGCGGGCATGATGAAATTACGAATGATTGGTGTCCTACATATATACATACATGTCCACCTACACCTACACATACACATACACATACACGCACAAAGTCTTGCATGTACAATGTGATATACATGTATGAGTGAAGTAAAAAAAAACAAATCTGAGAAAAATACCCACATCATACCCCCTCTGATGCAACAGAGAAGAAGAAGAAGAAGAAGCAAAGAGAAAAGGAAAAAAAAAGCGAACAAAAGTCCAAGGGCAAATATACAACGGGCTAAACGGCCCGGAGTTCAAACATCGAGATCGTATTTGATTTAACTACGTTTATTGACCGCAACCCTAAAAAAGAAAAAAGAAAAGGCAAATCAAGCCCCAATTGAATGCATATGTATAATATACACATCTGCACAAAAAATAAAAAAACGCCATAGATGATGCAAAAAAAAAGAGGAGGAAGAAAATGAAGAGAATATAGTATTCAAAAAAAATTCAAAAAAACCCATGGTATCATGATTCCGTGCTTTCCAAAAACACCCGCTATGGTACCAATCAAAAAGACGCCCCGCCATGTCCCAGCGCAATGTAAAATCAAACTATGAAGACGAAGATGCAGAGTCGTCGGCAGCAGGCGAGAGCGCCCCCGGTTGATTGCGCGGTAGCGCTTTTACAGCAATTTCAACCTCATTGGTAGCCATCTTTTGCCACTTCTCCCTCGTGTCCTGGTCTGCAAGCGCATCCGCGCCAGCCTCCCCAACCTTTTCGTATAACAAGCGTGACACGTCGCGGTTCACATCCGTGTACTCCTGTTTCGAAACCTCCTTCTTTAGGTACAGCGGCTTCAAGACGGCCGTCACCATGCGCTGCAACTCGGCCTTGGTTGAATATGAGAGCGCGGGACGGGTAGGCGACGAGTCTTTGGAGCGGGGTGGGCTGCTAAGGCCGCCCGACCGATGCGCGAGCTTACGACGACCAGCACGATCATCGTCTGCAGGCGAGTATGGCGAATAAGTGGGCGACAGTTGCTGGTCTTTTTGCGCAGGCGACACGGTGCGGGTGAGGTTCAACGGGGGTGGTGTGGTCATGCCAGGGGGCTTGTGATAGACGGGCGATAGTCCAGGTGATGAGTGTTGAGGCGAGCAGGCACGCTCAACGATGATGCGCCGGGGCTGAGGGGCGGCGATCTCCTTATCGCGCTCGGCAAACCTATCAACCTCAACTTCTTGCAAAAGCGACTGCAGAAAGCCTGGTGCGGGGGCAGTTGTGTCGCCGTTTTGAGCAGCCGGGGAAGACGCCGCCGCTGCAGGTGTATGCGTAACCGTATTACGACGAGCTGCAGCTGCCGACGACTCTCCGTTTTCAACATGCATACGTGTCCGGGGTCGCTTCAGCTTGCGTTCCGGCTTTTGCTCGCGAGGCTCAGATTCTGCAGCGGACGAGTCAATAGACTTTCGCTTGCGTGCCCGGCGACTGCTCGTGCTAGCCACACTGGGCGCCGTTTGTGCTTCGGCCTGGGCAAGCTGTTCGCGGGCCTTTTCGAACTGGTTCCATGCGCGTAGTTCTTCCTGTGACTCTGGGTCCTTTGGCGTCTTTGGGGGTTCGCGATGCAATGTGCGGTTTGCGGGCCGTGTTGCGATGCTGGAATTGCGACGTCGGCCCGTCACCAGGTTGTCAGTGACAATCTGGAACCGGTTGGCTGCCCCGGCCCGGCGGGCTACACGCATGCGTTCCTCCCACCTGCGATCCTCGCGGCGTGTAACGTCGGACTGGTTTTCCGATTGCTCGTCCTCATCAAAAGGAAATTCAATATCGAACTGCAGGCGGTCCCAGACACTCTGCCAGACTCCGACCCAGTCGTCAGGGGCTTGGTTGTGACGGGGCACGCGGCTCCGGCCATTGACCCATGCAGCCGGGCCTCGAATGGCAGGTCGTCGCCGGGACGCAGCCTCGAGCAAACTAGGGTTCTCCACACAGCCCTGGCAGTACCAGGGACCGCGCGTGGGCATCCGGTCAAGACCAGCACAAAAGACGTGGCACAGTTGCTCGCAGCTGTGGCAGTACATGAGTTGGGATGCATCGCCAAACTCATCGCAGACCATGCAGGCGTCGTAGCTCCCGTCATCCTCCAGCGTGTAATCTTCCTCGATAATCATAGACGGGTCGATGTCCGCGACCTGCTGCTTGTCCTGGACAGTGTACTCTGATAGTTTAGGGCCTGTAGCACGGTTAGCTGGTGGTCGGTCGTGCTAGCGCTGCGTGCTTGCAGCGCGAGATGGGCGCAGGAACGGGCAGATGCTGTGTTGAGCTCGACTGACCATTTAGCCAACAGCCAGGCTACTACCGGGCAACGAAAACAACTTGACGACTGCAAAATTCCGTGGTATCCAGGATAGACATACCTCCAACGCATGCGCTGAGCTCGACCAAGTTGAAGCTGGCTCGGCATATAGGGCAACTGTTCGCTCGCTCGACCCAGGGCTTGAGGCAATTGTTGTGCAGGTCGTGGCCGCAGGGCAGCAGGTGGGCCACCATTTCCTCGTCGTGGACTGCCGGCACCGCCACGTCCTTGTCCTTGGCGTGGTGCTGGGGCAGGCCATCAGCGGCGTGCTCATGGCGGGTGGGCGCCGGTGGTGGTGCTGACGGCGTGGCGGCAGGGCCGTCGTCTCGGGGGACGAGATCGCCGAGGCAGACTATGCACGTCTCGGCCATTGGTGTTGTGTTTGCAGGTAGAGAAACGAATGGGGTTGTCGCCGCGATTCATATGTCGGGAAGATGGTCAAGTAGAGAGAGCGGGGACCGTGGTTTAAGTACGCGGACGCTAGTGGCTTGGCTGGCGGATCATTCATCATTCACGACCCTGCAGCAGCCACTCTCTCTCCAGAGCCACTCGCGCCAACCCCGGAAAGCCCGTGAGGGGTGCGACCACTAACACCACCACGGCTGCCAAGTGGATACCGGGTCCGATTGCGACCTGCCCAAGTCCGAATCCAGGCGGTCAGCCCGCACGAGTGCCAGCCCTACAAAGCCCAGTCAGTCGTGCCCATGGTCGCCATACGTTACCACGTGTCCAGCCTCTCCAGGCGTGCGGGCGTATGACTTTACCGCGTCATTTGAGTGGTGCCTCGCCTGTGCGAACATGGTTCGCGGCGGCCCTTTTGCCTGTGCCTGTGCCTGTGCCTGCTATGCTGCGCTGCCTTTGGAGAGAGGTGGACATGTACAGCGTGCTGCTGCGACGCTTCCCCTACCCGTGGTTGGCGATGCCTGGACCGGAAACGTGCCAACATGCTGACCGGGACGGCGACGGCCTATTATCTCTGATGCATTCTTCACGCGAGACGTGCCGATAACATGGCGGCAGCTGCCGCGGCTGGCACGCCTAGTCGCCAGTAATAGCTGCCTACGCCGTGTCCCTAGTGTGGGGGGGGTCGCCGTCTCGTCTCAGACAGATATACAACCCCCAAGACGGAGACCATGCGCCATTCAAAACATGGATGAATGCCGCGCCGAGTCGAGCCAGGCGTTGGCACTATCAATGACTGTGTGGATTCGCAACAATACGATCGGAGTCGACTCGCTCATACGTCTCCAGACGAACCCAACACGTGGGCGCTTATATTTCTACAGCTACTGCGTTGCAAGCGACCAAGCAGCCGTCAGCCTCGCATCCTAGACTTCTCCTAGCGTCCTACACGTCTTATCAAGTTAGCGACACTGCTAGAGGATGGACATTTCGTGAATCACAGCAGTCTTTCTCTGATGCCACCCCACCACCTGTGCCCCCCCTTTGCCAACCAGGCAACCCAGCTCTCTTATCATGTGCTGTGGACCCCAATCCGGGAGCCAGGTGGAAATCTGCCGTTTTGGCCGCCTGAGTGGAAGGAGGGAGAAAGGACAGCGGTGAAAAGTTTTTTTTTACACTTGTTTCTTCGATCTGGAGGGGCATTTTTCGATTCCAGCATCTGCCTGCCAAGCCTGCCTAGCCGCTTATGGTATAGCCCACCACACACTCGCTGGCAGAGCGTGAGAGACTGGTTTTTAGGGTGCACACAGGTAGTATGGAATTTGTTGGGCCGCATGTCGTAGGACGTGGGTGGGTTTCACAGCACCACAGTCTGCCGTCCGACTCGTATACTGGCAGGAATAGATGCTACACCGGGCGAATGTCCGGACCTGCCGCGTACCTATGCTGGAGCCGGGCGCTTCCTACCTCGGTATGATCTCAACAGTAAACCCAAAACATGGGTCATGTCCGGCTCGCGTAGTCATTGAGAAGGGTATTTCTTCACGCTGATATCAGCGCATTCACCTTCTCAGGAACTTAATTTTTTCCATTCCCGCCATTTTCAAAACCATTCCATTTTCAAAGACTATCGGTATCGGCACAATGGATCGAGAGTCGCGCCAGTACGAGGTGGTGCTGCTAGGAGCAACCGGCTACACTGGCCAGCTTGTCGCCGAATGGATCACTACGCATCTCCCGGATGATCTGAGGTGGGCCATTGCCGGTCGCAATGCGAAGAAACTACAAGCCGTGGTTGAGGAACTGTCTCAATTGCGGCCAGATCGCAAGCAGCCAGGTAAGTGGTGGCTCTAGGTATGACGTTATCTGGACATGAAACACTCACACCAAGCAGCCATTGAAACATGCGAGCTCCAGCAAGACCAGCTCGACACACTTGTCAAAAAGACCAAACTTGTCATCACAACTGTAGGGCCATTCATGCACTACGGGGAGCCTGTCCTCGCGGCCTGCGTCAACAACGGTACGCACTATCTCGACTCGACGGGCGAGATACCATGGATCTACGACATGATTGCCAAGTACGAGACGGCGGCGAAGAAGAACAAGACCATCATCATCCCAGAGTGCGGCCTTGACTCCGTCCCCGCAGACATCATGGCATACGTGCTCGCCCGCCAAGTCCGCAAGCGCTACAACACCGCGTGCGAGCGCGCCATGCTCACGCTGTACGCCTTCAAGACGGGCATCAGCGGCGGCACCTCGCTGACGATGCTGGAGCTGTTCAAAAAATACCCGCTCAGCCATCTCAAGAAAACACGGGACCCGTATTCGCTGTCGCCCGTCCAAGCCGAGGGCGTTGCTCCCGCGCCCAAAGGCAGTTTCCCATACAGCCTGTTCGGACTGCTCAATGTCCCCGAGCTCGGCGGCATCCAGACAACGGGCTTGATGGCGACTGTGGACGAATGCATTGCGCACCGCTCCTGGGGCCTATACGAGTCGTTGCCCGACGCGTCTCTGCACTACGGCCCGCGCTTCCGCTTCAACGAGTACGCGCGCGCACCCGGCGTGCTCGCGGGGTTCGCGCAGAAAGTCTTCCTCACATCCATCACCATGGTGCTCGCCATCCCCGTCACACGATGGCTCTTCGAGCCCCTGTTTAAGCGCCTAGTCCCGAGCCCTGGACAGGGCCCGTACAAAGAAAGCAGGAAGAAGGACTTTATGCATTACCGCGGGCTGGGCACAACCGCAGACGGCAGGAAAGTAACTGCGAACCTCGAGATTGCGCATGGCGGATACGTGGCGACGGCCATGACGCTGAGTGCGGCAGCCAAGGTGATTGTTCGGGGCCGGCTGGAGAATACCCAGGCGGGAAAGCTGGGTGGTGGTATCTTGACGCCGGCGATGCTGGGAGACGAGTATGTGGATGCGTTGAATGAGATTGGTGTCAGGATCAGGATTGATGAGTAACTGAGGGGGGGACTTGTTGGCGATATATGTTGATTTTGGGCATGTACATAGCATCTCACAGGGGGAATGGGTTCGGGGTTCGGGTTCGGGTCACTTTTACTCTGACGCGTGTTAGTTGGACTGGGTAATGTATGTATCTATGTACTACTAGTATCTATCTACGAAATTAGTTATTATTCGCCGCCACCACCATCACTCCATTGTAGATACCCACACACATGCATGCAGCCCACAGTGACAGTGCGCAGTTCAATCCCACAGAGCCGCGTCCGCCAGCTGCAGCAGCATATATTAGTACAGTTACCTAGCCGCGTGCGCGTGGACCCCCCTATCTCCCTCTCCCTGCACACATGCGGCAATCTGCAAGCCGCAATTGTTAAGGGGGGGGCAGGTTAATCCCAATGCACGCTAGACTGGCCATGTACGTTGACGAGAGTAGACGAGGCGAGGCGCAGCGGCCCCCCCTCGCCCAGCGTTATCTCGATTTTTGAAGCAGAGAAATCTAGCCTCATGACTGTGCTGCGCCTCTTTTTGTCGATCCCCCGACTGCGGTTCCGAGATGTGCTTGTGGGGGGTTATATGGGGGGTGGGGGGGGGGGTCTGGGTCATGGGCGTGGGGCTGTGCGTGGTAAGTAGTGTGAGATGGGCATGCGATGATAATTCTTCTACTTACGTATCACGACAGTACCCGTAAGACATTCTCCTTGATAGTCTCCACATCACAACAGGCACAATATATGAATGCGAAAAAAAATACGATAGTTCACTGTAAAGTACACATACAACCGTAGACACACCAGCCACACAATATATAAG